ATCCGAACACAACCCGGTGACTGCGTGCATCACAGCTGTGCTGCCACTGCCTCCACGCGCTGCTCAAGACGCAACGGGCGCCCACACGGCGCCCCCCGTCGTCCCACCCCTGCAGGCCTCCGCCCGCCCCCAGCCAGCCAGCCACCCCGCCCCACCCCACCCCCACCCCCACCCCTGCCGCAGTTCATGGACGCCATCAACCGCCGCCTGGCCCTCGAGTTCCTGCTGCAGTTTGCGTGGCGCAACCCGGAGCGCCAGGTCCTGCTGCTCACGCCCCAGGACGTGTCGGGTGGGTGGCGCGGGGCGGTGCGGGGCCGGCTGGCTGGCTGGCTGGGGGCAGGCCCAGGCCTGCAGGGGTGGGACGACGGCGGGCACCCTGTGGGCGCCCCTTGCGTCTTGAGCAGCGCGTGGAGGCAGTGGCAGCACAGCTGTGATGCACGCAGTCACCGGGTTGTGTTCGGGGCTTCCCCCCTGGATCGCTCGCCGGCTGACTTCCGGGTGCTCGCCTGCCGAAATGCTGCGTGCAGTGCTGGAGGAGGCCAAGGGGCACGTGGAGAAGCAGCTGAACCGCAGCCTGCCGCCCAACTTCATCAAAATCCAGCGTATGCGCGCGCCGCGCGACCGCCAGCAGCAGCAGGAGCAGGCGGCATAGAGCGCACGGCGCACGCCGCGCAGCAGCCAGCAGCAGCCGGCGAGTGCGCCCGTCGGTTGCCTGCGGCTGTGCCTGACACCGCAGTTTTGTCTTGTGCCCTCAGCCTGCAACATGGCTGTTGTATGTGGCACCCTTAGCTTGTTTCGGTTTGCTCTCCTGACCCCAGTTCAACTCTTTGCAAGTTGCCAACCCTGTACCTGCCTCACCGACCCATCATCCGGCCCTGCCTGCGGCTGGCCAGAAGTTTTCCCGACCCCATGAACCCTGCTTGAACGCAGCGCGCGCTGCGCCTGCTGTTGTGGACCCCAAACCTGGAAGCTTTCCTTACATGGGAGCATAGCGAGAGAGTAGTCAGCAGCAGAGGGGAGGAGGGGCCGGGGCCGCCACCGGCACATAGGGCCGGCAGCGGCTAGTGTACACACCCAGGGGCCTGAGATAGCAGTGACACAGGAGAGGGAGCGGGAAGGTATACAGGAGAGCAGCACCCAAGAGTGGCGCAGCTCGGGAGAGGGGTGTGTGCAGTGGCTGCGGCAGCCGACGACGAGGTGCGGCCCCGGCATGCAAAAAGCCAGCACGATCTTGCGCCCTTGGCGCCGAAGAGCAGAGCCGACGGCTTGAGCCCGGCGCTCAGCAGCAGGAGGACTTGGCGGGCGGCGGGGCGGGCTGCTCGCTGAGCTGGATGCCGCCGGCGGGCTGCTGCGGCGCGGCCGCCTTGGGCAGCCTGCAGGCAAGGGGCACGCAAGGAAAGGCAGGGGGCTAGTTTCAAAAGGCCGCATACAGCTGCTGCTGATGCTATTGCGCTTGCCTGTTCCTCTCTCTCTCTCTCTATACACACACACACACACACACACACACACACCACACATGCGAACAGGACAGCAGGCCACACCCCCTCAAGCGGGCGCCCTCACTTGTCCGCCACCTCATCAAACAGCTCCACCACATTCACGTTGGTCATGGCTGAGGCCTCGAAGAACAGCAGGCCCGTCTCGGCTGCAGGCGGGCAGGCAGGCAGAGGCGGGCGGGGCGGCGGGTCAGGCACGGGCGCACAAGCAGCACGGCTGCCACGGCCAAGCAGCAGGCGGGCAGCGGGACAGCCATCAAGCCAGCAGCAGCAGCAGCAGCGGGTCCCGCGGCTCCTTTGCCAGAGTGCACGTCGGTACAGCCTACCACCACCAAACCACACAAGCCTGCGACGCAGCGGCTGGATGGCACCGGCGGCTGGTCCTGCGCCGCCCACCTGCGTATGTGCGAGCGTCTGCCTCTGGCACCGCCCGCGCCTCCTCAGCCAGGTCCACCTTGTTGCCCACCAGGGCGATGATGAGGTTGGGGTTCTGCACATTCTGCCGCAGCTCCCACACCCACTTCTTGGCTGCGGGCGGCAGGTGCCAGGGGGCGCGGGGGAGGGGGAGAGAGCAGCGGCGGCGGCGGCGGGTCAGCAAGGGAGGGAGCAGGGGGGTGATACCGCATGGCGCAGCCATCAGCCTGTCCACCCTCCGGCCCAGCCTGCGCCCCAGGGTGCGTCGCAGGCCGTCCCAAGGCTGCCGCGCCCGCGCGCTGCAGTCGCCGGCATTGGGCCGGTTTGCTGGCGCTCGGGCTCGCGGCTCACCGCGCTCAAACGAGGCGGGGTGGGTGACGTCGTACACGACGATGGCGGCGGCGGCGCCCCGGTAGTACATGGGGGCCAGGCTGTGGTACCGCTCCTGCCCCGCGGTGTCCCTGCAGGGTTGGACCGGCGGTGGTGGTGGGTGTGCAGTCGGCCCGCAAATCTCGGTAAAGCAGGCCCCCGGCCTGGCCGCCAACCGACCAGCTTTATTCCCTGCCCGCACCATATCTCAAACTTGACGTGCTTCTCTGGGATGGTTTTCGTGAAGAAGGAGGCGCCGATGGTCGACTCCTGCAAGGAAGCGCCGCGGGCAGGCGGGCGGGCAGAGAGGTTATGTAGGGCGGCGGCGGTGCCCGGAGACGCGTGGCGCGCCTGGCGGCGCCCACCCAGGCACGCCCCTGCGCTCACCTGGTTCTCAAAGTACTGGCCCCGCACAAACCGCTGAACCAGGCTGGTCTTGCCGCTGCCCATCTCCCCCAGAAGCACCAGCTTGCTCTGCACCAGCTGCTCAATCATCCCCGACATCCTTGGTGGCCGCTGGCCGCTGACTGGTGTCCCCTGATCGCGCCTCTGCTTGCGCGAGCAAGCGGAACTTGACGTAGGCTCACGGCGGCTCAAGTCTGGGGCTTGGCAGTGATGAGGCGGGTGGGACCTGGCGAAAACCGGGAGCAGAGGTTGGAGGCATGCAGCACCAAGGGTGAGCTGGCCGGGCAGTCGCCACACACCCCCCCATGGGGCAAAAGGCCCCTCCGCTACCGCCCCACACGTTCTCTAGTGATACGTAGATCGGCATGAGGCATCGAGTGCGCCAGAGGGGCGGGCTCTGGAACCTGTTTGTCGCCGCCTGCTGCCTCCTGACCTCGGCTGGGGCCGTGGAGCCCGCTGGCTGTCCAGATGTGGACGCAGGTGATCCATCATGAGGCCCGGCGAGCTGCCCACAGCGCACAGCTGGTGGGCTGGGGACTCACTGCCTGCCCCCGCCCATCACTCCCGCCTGCCGCTGCCGCACTGCTGCAGGTGGCTGCGGCCAGCTGGCCGCTGTGTCCACCCTGTTCCGCCGCGCCAAAACATGGAGCGACTACGCTGAGCCGGTGGCGGTGCTGCAGCTGGGCCAGCCGGCAACGGCGCTGCACTATGTGCCCGCCACCCGCGCCGCCGCTCCACCGCGCTTCCTGGCCGTCGGCGATGCCGCCGGCGGCCTGCACCTGCTGAGCCCCGCCACCGGCAGGTTGGTTGCGCAGCACCACACAGGTGGGCATTGCCGGGTGGATGGGCGCAGTAAGGAGGGCTGGGGAGGCTGGGGACGACCCACCGACTGGTAATGGAGAGCGGCGGCGTGACCGACGCGAGCGCCCCATTGCCGTGTGGCCGCAGGCACGGCCTCTCCCGTCACCGCTGTGGGCTCCTACCTGCTCAGGCGCAACACCACTGTGCTGCTGACGGGCCATGCCAGCGGCGAGCTGCGGGTGCACTCGCTGCTGCACCCGCGCCCGCACAAGGACGGCGGCGGCAGCGGCGGCGGGGAGGCTGACGAGACAGAGGAGGGCGACGGGGCCAGCCCACCCGCGCTCAGCTTGGCCCTGCTGCAAGTGCTCCCGCCCTCTGAGGTGCTCTGCGGCACGCCGCTGCCTGCTGCCGCCGGCTGCGAGGGCGTGCAGCCAGGCCAGGAGCAGCAGCAGCAGCAGCAGGCGCCGGGCACGTGCGCCGCCGCCGCAGCAGCGGCGGCCTGCTCTCCCATCACGGCGGTGCATGGGCAGGGGCGTGGCGGCCAGGTGGCTTCCACCGCTGTCGTATACGACGCAGCCGGCAGGCTGGCGGTGCTGAAGCATGGAGGCCTGGCCCTCCACCTAGGTGAGCACGAGTGTTGCATATGCAACAACACAGCAACATGGCTGGCTTGCTGGCTGCCTGCGCAGCCATGCGGGTGGCTGAGGCACCTAGGCACCGGAGCTGAGCAGTGCCTGCCTGCTCTGCCCGCCCCCTTGGCGCTCACCCATGCTCCGCTGCATGCATGCCGCTCCTCTCCCGTTTCCTGCAGCCCGGCTGGTGCGGCAGGTGGCCCTGGAGCAGCCCGCGGTGGCGGCCCGGGTGTCCAGCGTGACCGCCACCCTGCTGGGCAGCAGCGGCGTGGCAAACCAGCGGCTGGCCATCTCCCCGCCGCCGCCGCCTGGCGCGGGCCAGCAGCAGAAGCGGCGGGCAGGCGGAGAGGCCGCGCCGCCAGGTCTCCATCCCTGCACTGGCCTGAACGGCACCCGCCTCGTGTCGGCAGCCTTTGATCAGCAGCATGCCAGCCGCGCCTATGCTCTGGCGGGCGATGGGCGGATGCTGACCCTGGTGGTGGGTGGAGACAAGGCCAGCCAGCCCACCTGCAGGGTGCGGGCGGCGGCGCTGCTGCCAGCCGGCCTGCTGCTGCCACCGGCAGCTGGCAGCGGCGGCGAGGCTCAGGTGCAGCAGCCGGGGCTGGCCCTGGCTGCCATCTCCGGCTACCTTCTGGCTTCGAGCGGCGGCCAGGCAGGCAGCCTGCTCGTATTCAACGTCACTCTGGCGCCCCGCAAGGCGCCCAGCCTGCTGCTGCGCCAGCCGCTGGCCGCGCTGCGGGCGCAGTTTGGGGTTGTGCCACCGTCGCCGCTTGCCGCCGACGCGGCAGCAGGCGGCGCAGCTGCGGCAGGGGTGGCGCAGGCGGGGCTGCAGGCCGCGGCGCCGCCGCTGCTGGCTGCCAGCAAGCAGGGCCAGGTGGCTCTGCTTCTCAACGCCTCGGTGCTGGCACTGTACGAGACGGCACTCCCCTACCGCGCCCCTCCCCAGTCGCCCATGGCCAGCATGGCCTGGCTGCAGCTCTTCCAGCCCATGGCCATGCTGCTGGTGGGCGGGCTGGTCATCTACCGGGCCCGTGCCCGGCGCGGCGGCGGCGGCGGCGGTGCTGGCGCAGGCGGCGGGCTGGGCTTGTCGGGGGATGCGCGGCTGAGGGAGTTTGAGCGGCTGCTGCAGGATGGCAGCATGGCATGGCAACCATGGCAACCATGGCAACCATGGCAAACCATGGCAGGCAAGGCTGGAGAAATGCAGCTATGAACTGCAGCTGTAAATGCATGTAGCTCCGTGTTGACTCTGCTGCAGCTTACACACGCCTCGCCGCGATTCAAGTGTGCCTTGCCGTTGCTGCAGGCGTGTCGCGCAGCCGCCATCAGCCCGGCCCCGCCTTGCACCGCGATTACGACGACGACAGCGGCAGCGGCAGCGATGGGGAGGGGAGCAGCCTGATGGGCCGCCTGCGCAGCAAGGTGGGCGCCGGCAGGCCGCCGCCTTCCAAGCGCGGCGGCCTGCTTGGGCGCAACGGCGGCGGCGGCGGCGGCGGCGAGGCCGGCGGCAAGGAGCGCAGCTCGGCTCGCATGCGCGCCTTTGCTCTGGCCGCTTCGGACGACCGCGAGACTGCGGCCGCGCGCGTGGCGTCCAGCCCCCAAGCCGCCGGCGGGCCGCTGCACGGCAGCAGCAGCATGAAGGAGGAGGAGGAGGAGGACGCTCTGGAGCAGCTGCGCGGGCGGCATGGCCTGGCTGGGGCCTTTGGCTCCGACATCGACATGAGGTCCAGCGTGGATGACAGGGATGTGGCTCAGCTGCGCCACCGCTTGGGCCAGACGCGCATTGCGTGAGGCCACGCCGCCCGGCGGCAGCACAGCGTGCTTGGGGGTGCCTCCTGCTGCTGCCTGGCCCACAGGGTGCCCTGCTACAGGGCTCGACTTGTTGGCAGTGCGCGTTGCGTTGCAATGTGTGTGATACGCATGTACTGCACATAAACGGCGGCACACGGAGCTGGCTGACCGGCAGGGTGTGTCACCTGGCGAGCAAAGGAACTGGAAAAGAGCGAGGGGCAAGGGCGGGCAAAAGGAGTGGGGAGCTGCACCTGGGATGGGGAGCCCAGCAAGCAGGGGCGACATGGTGCGTATTGTGCAAGGGCAAACCACGCGTTGCCATTATCTATGTGTATATGCGGGCAAGGCGCAGCGGAAGGGGCGGCCCCTGGCTAGGAACAGTGGTTGACATGGTGCATTAGCAAAGTGTCGACAGCTAGACGAGTGGAACACAGTAGGGTTGAATGCCAGTCTTATTACCAGGGAGGCCTCGGAGGCCAGCAGCTCAAAAAAGGACTTTGAAAAGTTTATGAAAGTAACGAGTAAAAGGGACAGCTGTGGAAGGGGCAAAGTGACGCTCGAGTGTACAATGTGTGGTGCGGCTAGCTCTCACTCTCATTTCAAGCCAGCTTGGGCCACTGATCAGGCCTGCTGGACCTCGGCAGCGGCGCCTGCACCGCCGCCACTCAGGAAGCACAGGATGCAAGCCAGCACGTCTGCGTGGTTTGCTGCCTCAAACCGGCGCCGCAGGCTGCGCATCTGGCAGCGCATGGTGTCCAGGTCCGCCCTCTGGAAAGCCTGCATTCGAGCAGCGATTGCCGACACTCAACACACACACACGGATATGGTTCATGCAACACACCAAGCAGCGCCCAGAGCAATGCTCGCTGCGCGGCCTGGCCAGCGCTGGCGGCATGCAGGCGCAGCAGGCACACCGTGAGGTACGCAATGGCAGTGTGGCTGGGCACCGTGGGGCAGCGCTCCAGCATCGACTCCAGAGACTCGTACATCTGTATGGACGTCTGCGGTACAGCGTGCGATATGCAGTGCGGTGACAGCGCAGTACACAGTACAGTACGATGCAGCACAGAGGGGCAGCGAGGATGCAGCCTGAACAGGCACCTGCTCGCTGAGCTGGGCGTGCCGCATCGTGACGCCACCACCACCACTAGCTGCTGACGGCGTGCAATGCCCTGTTCGGTGGCAGGCGCCCACCCTCCCACCTGCTCTGTGCTGGGGCCCGATGCCTGCTCCGGCTGCACGGCAGCGGCCGCGGTGCGAGGCACGACTGGCTGCGGCGCATCTGGAGATGGGTCGATGTTGTGCTGAGTGCACAGCTGCCTCAGGCGGGCCACCTCCGCCTCCAGCCATCGCATCTTCTCCTTCTGCCGCAGCCTGCAGACAAGGGAGAAGGGAGGAGGCACGGGACAGATGAGCGGGACAGATGGGCGGGGCTGGCTGGCGGGGGGGGGGGTAGGCAAGCGTGCGGGTGCGGCACGGCAGCCCATAAGAACGGCGTGCTGCCAGCAGCCAGTGCTACGCATCCCGAGCCACCAACACGTTCCGGAAGCGCTGCTGCGCGGTGCGGTTCTTCTCCTTGGTGGCTTTCAGCCGCTCCTCGCTGCTGCGGCGGGCCAGGCGGCGGCCGCCGCCGTCGCCCTTGTGCGCCTGTGCCTGGCCGCTGTGCCCCTCCCCACAGTCGCTCTCGTCCTGGCTGTGGCTGTGGCTGGCCCCGCTGCCCGTCCCAACGTGGTGCTGCTGCTGCTGCTGGACAGCCGCAGCCGCTAGTGGTGCCAGAACGGACGGCGGCTGCTGTGCCGCCGCGACCGCAGGCACAGCCATGGCCGGCAGGAAGGTGGCTGCCCCGCCGTTGGGCAGCGGCATGCCGCTGGCAGGTAGCCCCAAGCTGAGCGGCGGGTAGGGCGGCAGCGGCAGCCCCAGCTGCGGTGCCAGGGCGGGCAACTGCGGCAGCTGGTGGGAGCTAGCTGCATGGCAGGCAGAGGGGAGCCACAGGGCGGGCACGTCGGGCTTAGAGAACAGTAGCATGGCTCACCCGACGAGCCAGTGGCATGGCTCACCTGGCGCACCCTGCAGGCGGCTGGTGGGAGTCGCGCCGGCGCCCGGGGCAGCGCCCTCCACCTTCTGCCGCTTTCCCGCCCCTGCCGCTGCCAAAAGCTGCTGCAGCTGCAAACTATTGATGGGGCTCAGCTCTCCAAACGCGGGGTGCAGGGCGGGGGCTGCCATTGCCAGGGTGCGCTGTGTGTGGTAATCGCGTGAGCCTGAGTAAACCTGTGGTGCTCCGTCCCTCGCTAGGGGGCGGCACCCTAGTCCATGACTTGGGTGATGCACAAGTGGCGTGAATGAGCGCCTGGGAAAGCAGCAAAGATGCGCTGCGGCAGAGCCTTCGTAACCTGACGTCGCGCTCATTACGTTTGCATTCGCCTTCGAGTTATCACCATCAAATACGAGTTACAAGAGACGGGCAGGGGGAGTGATCGCCAGAAATCCCCGTGCAAAGCAACCTGCCGACGCCAGCCGCCACTCGGTGACCGCTCACTCCGCCGCCTGCCGTCTCTCCCCTTGCAGGCCGCTTCATGTGCCTTTCATCGACATCATCAGGCGATCTGGTGCAGACAGATCGGTGTGACAATGGGTGGAGCGATTCAGCTCACGGGAGGCAGCTCGCAAGCTGCTGGCCGCGCTGGTACACTGGCATGTTTGGCCTGCACCGTTCGATGAGAAACAGCGTTACATTTCCATGTCCGCATCTCCAATTCTACAAACAGTGGCAGCATGATATCGACGGAAAATGAGTCGAACGGCGCACAGCCTCCCGCCGGCCGACTGCGCTGCCTGCCGCCGCCGCCCGCTGCCGCCGGTGCCTGTCTGCCGCCGCCGCCGCTCCCCACTGGCGACGATGGGCACCGGCCATGTAAGTGCACTGCGGCCTCTGCATCGCTCTTGGCTGGCCTCAAGGACACCAGGGCTCTCGCACTCGCCGAAATCTGAGGATGCTCATTCCCTCGACCGATTCTTCCGCAGCAGCAGGAGGCTGGCAATCAGGTTCCAGCGGCGAATGGCGGCAGAGTCAAGCGTGGTGAAGCCCGCCAGCAGCGCGGGTGCGGAGATGCACATCTCCGGGGATGTCGCCGAGGCATGGGCGGGGGTCCCAAACAGACGCCTGAGCTCGTTCGAGGAATGCAATGCGTGTCGCATGACGCGGGGGGACCGCACATTGCTTCTGGTGAGGGTGCCCACGTGGAGCGCCGGCGCCTCGCGCATGCTGTGGGCGACAGCAGTGTCTCTGACGCCTGTCCCACGTCTCTTTCATGCGTTCTACCTGCGTTACACAAGGCATCTACGTACTGTTGGGGTCAGGCCAGGCGTGCCGTGAAGAGGGGAAGCAGGTCCGAGCCACGCGTCGGTGCGCTCGGCGCAAGGAACTGCCGCCTGGAACCCTACATTCCAACCGAGCTGAGTGAAACACACAGGTTAATTAGAAACGATCCCATCAAGGTGCAGGCACATGCAGGGCTTGTGCAGAGCTGCTGTAATGGTGCCGTCGTGTGTGGTCCACGCGAACCACCGCCCTCCGCCGGTGGGGCATCCTTTTCGCTGATGCTCGGCCTTGCGTGAGCTTCTGCTCCTTTTCTCACCCATTACTGACCTCCGGGATATTGAAGAGCTTTCTGGTGCCCAAGCGGGTGCCCTGCCGAGCTTGAGCGGCAGTGCGAACTCGCAATGAGAACACCGGGCCCTTGAAACGGGTCTTCACTAGCCGCTGAACCCGTCTGACAGCGAGCGCCGCATTGCGGCAGCCTGCCCCCGCACTTAGAAGGCCGGCCGCTGCCAGCGGCGCCGCCGCCCGACGATACCAGCCCGACGCACGCATGGCTGGCGGCGAGGGCTCGCCCCGGCGGCGTGTGGGGCGTGGGAGCGCTGTGGAGGGGCTGGAGGTGGCAGCACACACGTCTCGCAGGAACTATGTGCGGCTGAAGGTCGAGTATTTGACAAACACCGAAGGTCTGATCATCAACTGGACTGTAAGGCTGGTCACGCTGCTCCTGCTGGGCGTCATCATCGCCCTGTCTGTGCTCAAGTACAGGAAGGAGCCGGATGAGCTGCTGTTTGCCAGCAACAACTGGTGAGCGGGACGCTGCTTGCGGTCGGCCCGCCGGTCGGAGCGGCATCCTGGGCCCGCTCCCGCTGCCGCTGTTCATAGCCCTGTGCACTGCGTGTGCCGCAGGTACATCGCGCAGCTGGTGTTGGCTAGCACGTCGCTGGCAGCGTTGCTGGCCCTTGCCGTGGTCTTCCTGGTGAACGTGATCCGGCAGCGGGGGCGCACGTGGTGAGCCCGATGCCCCTGCCTTCCCCGCCGCACCTTCTTGCGCAGCCTGGGGTTTGCCCGCGCTGCCAGCCCTGACGCCCGCCGCGCCCGCCCACCAGCCGCCGGCTGCCGCGCCGCGCCGGTGCAGGCACCGGCGGCGGCGGGGCCTGTCGCGGGACGCCGCCGTCATGCTGGTCACCCAGCTGGTGGCGGTGGTGTGCTGGGATGCGCCCTATGCGCTGGTGGTGTCCCGCGACTGCTTGTGGTTTGCAGACGCCATTGCGTGGCTGGGGATGGTGCGCTGGAGCTGCCTGAACAACCAGCTCCTGTGGATGGTCATCATGGCGCACGGGTGCTGCCAGTACAGGGGGCGCGACCCCGACCCCGACCCCGACTACCAGGTGCCCGCCCGCTAATGTGCCTGCCTGCCTGCCTGTCTGTACAGCTGCCTGCCTGCCTGCCTGCCTGTAAAGCTGCCTGCTTGCCTGCCTGCTGTACATCACGCGGCATGCTTTGGTGGCCCCGCCTGCAGCTGCTGATGGACGCACCCACGCGGCGGCAGATCCTGGCCCACCTGCCCAAGGGGGTGCTCTGGCTGGCGCTGCAAGCCGTTGTGGGAGGGCAGACGTACTTGTGGTGAGGAGGGCGCCTGCACCCTGCCACGCAGCATGCCGGGCTGCTGCGGCCAGTACCC